GTACTTCAGGGTTCAGTCTTGGGGCCGTTACTATTCATCGTTTTTATAAATGATTTGACCGTTAAGCTTAAGTCTCCCTGCTATCTATTCACCGATGACGCTAAGATAGTCGGAAACCCACATGAGGAGACTGTACGAGCTGACCTAAATACCCTCCAGCAGTGGTTTGAAACCTGGGGCTTACCCTTAAATATAGGAAAGTGCAAGCAGCGACAGACTGGGGGACCACCTGCACCTATAACCATCAACCAGGAAAATCCCCAGACCATAGAAAGAGTTAAGGAAATAAGGGACATGGGCGTGCACATTCATGAGTCATTTAAGTCATCTGCCCAATGTGTTCTTGCAGCAAGCAAAGCACAGAGGGCTATCTATAAGTTACGCAAGACAATAGACTCTAGAGCTCCCCCAAGCTGTCATATCACTATCCAAGGCAATAGTCAGGCCGCACCTTAAGTATGCCGTGCAAGCCTGGGCTCCAGCCCTAAACAGAGATCAGCAACCTTTGGGGAATGTCCAGCGAAGGTTCACAAGGACCATTGCGGGCTTCAGCGACATGAGGCGACATTCCATAAGAAGAAAGTCTAAGGACCTTGGGACGTTTTCCTCTCCATCGTAGACGCCTCAGGGGTGATCTCATCGAAGTATTCAAACAAATGAAAAGGTTTTCGAATACTACCTCACCCCTCTTCACGTTGGAAAAAAGCTCTACAACGACAGAGCCCAACCTCAAACTGAAGAATTCCAGGGCACTTGAAAGCGTTAGGGCAAATGTTTTCTCCTACAGAAACCGATGGAACAAGCTGCCAGAGCATGTTGTTTCATCAACAACAGTAGTCCAATTCAGGGCCAGTTTGGATAAGGTGTGGTCGTCACTAGTCGCTAACTTTATCTAGGACTATCTTACTCTCATTGTCTTACCTTGTAACCCCCACTCTTCCACACTCCCACGTCTGCCGTCTTATCTCACTTGAAGACTACTTCCACCCTAGAATTAAGACATGAATGTTATACAAAACATTTTTTATCTTGCAGGTGTGNCTTACTCTCATTGTCTTACCTTGTAACCCCCACTCTTCCACACTCCCACGTCTACCGCTTACCCCACTATAAAACAACTTCCCGAGAATTACTTCCACTCTAACATTAAGGCATGGATGTTAAATAAACCATTTTTTACGTTACAGCAGTAAATCTATACTCATGAAGCTTCCGGAGGTAGTCACCAACTCTGAGAACTTATCAGATAGCCTCATCATCATCATCGTCCAGCGAGATACAGTGAAGCGAGCTTCACTGATCGCTGCCACCTCCCAATGTGCACAAATCAAGTGATAAAGCACAAGATGGAAAGGGATTGGGCCTATTTGGAAGGAAGTAAAGAAAAAGAACCTCTATGTTCAACACAGAGTACACAATCGAAGTGTTCATGCATACCTTTTCAAGCATTCTGACTTGCTAAGAAATGACAACAAGAACGCCACTGCTGTCGGTTAGTCGCCATATCCTTTAATGTCTCCAGCCACCCAGTTGCAGTCTTCCGGACCCCAACCTGGAAGACGGGAGACACCGATTCTACGTAATCGCTCTGCATTTCTTCATGCCTCGCTTTCACGTCATCTGTTGATCACCACGCGGTTTCTTCCAACCTGGAGCCGCAACTGCGACTAAGGCGCGGTGCGGCAGATGATGGCTGGACATGCGCAATACGTGTCCTTACCAACGAAGCCGACTAGTCTGAATTCGATGGGACAACGAATTCACCACCGAATGATTACCAAATACGCGACGCCTCACCTCAGAGTTGCCTACAAGCTCGCTCCATTCAGCCCGCGCCAAACTACGTAAACATCTGCAGTCGAATACTCCAAGACGACGAATATCTTCCACGCGCCAATTTAGGGTCTCGCAACCATAGAGCAAAACTGGCCGCACACAACCTTTCAGTTTCAACGAAACATCGCGTCTGCACCAAGGGTGTTTCAATCCTGCGTAAGCTGCTCGAGCCTTGGAAATGAGGGCGGTTACTTCATGGGCTATGCTACCGTCATTTGAAACGCAGCTACCTAAGTAGATGAAACATTCCACTAGTTCTTGACCATCAGCGCTTGGGTAGACAACACCCAGTCTGGTAGTATCACTATGCTTTTTGAAGGTGCAAAGCGCATGCCGAAAGGAGATACAGAACTTGCTAGTCTGTCAAGAGCGCATTGCGCATCCTCCATAGGTTCGAACGTGCATGCGATGTCATCAGCTTACTCTAAATCGCACAGCTTTTCTTCAGCTGCCCATTCAATACCTACGTTCTGGAGACCAGTAAGTGCATTTTCCAGTACTTCGTCTACGACGAAATTGAACACGAATGGCGAAAAAAGGGCACCCTTGACGGACACTGCTCCTGGTTTCGAACGATTTACTTACCCCACCGCAGACCCTTGCGCTACCAGAAGTATGCAGGTACAACGACCGCAATAGGTTTATATACTTCCGCGGCATTCCTTTGCGGAGCTGCGACCCCAGAAGAGCTTCACGGTCAACTGAATCGAAGGCTCCTTTTAGGTCAAGGAACACTGCGATTGTTGGCCGACGATGTGTGTGACGCAGTTCGAGGACTTGACGTAGAGTGAAGATTTAATCGATGCACCCGCGACCTGGTGGGAATCCGTCTTATTGTTTGCGGATATTGGTTAATGGTTGTAACAACTGAACTGAACTGAATTGGATATTTCTCTCCCTTAAGGGTGTCAGGCGGCGAAGTATCACAGAAGTCAACACTTTTGTGATTATCGGAACTAAACTAGTCCTTTCCTTTCTTTAATGATTGAATGCAGCTTGGTACTTCCGATTCTGATGGGGGCTCGCATGTTACCACCCATAGAGTTTCCGCCACAATTACTGTAATGACCACATTAGCCCTAGGCCAATTGAACTGTTTACTAAAATAATCTGCCCAGCGATCAAATCGTTGTTCTTTATTGTGGACTATTCCCTGATGCAGAAGCTACCTCCATTTCACTAGCAATTTCGGCCCACCAAGTTTCACGATCTTTCTTAAGGCTATTTCTGAGTTGACGTTGCAGACGACACCGGTCCTTATGCTGATCCTGACAGATTGGGATCTTTCGCTTCTGATCCATTAGAATTACTGATTTCTGAGAGATCCAATGCCTTCGGTGAGCTTCGGGCTCAGTCCCACAAGCGAAGTTTGCAGCTGAGTGCATCGCAAATCTAATCTGATTCCATTGTTGGTGTACTCCACTATGTCACGGTTCTCCTAGCTCCTGTCCCAGATTCTCCTCATAACGTGCTGAGACAGCTGGATCGCGCAGACGATGGTGAGCTAATTGAGGAGGTGATTTCTGCCGATGACCAATGAGTCGAAGGGCGAAGCATGGCAGAACTAGTGCATCATCCGACTCAGGTGGACCAATAGGATCTGCAATTTTGTACTGAACCACGCCAACGGTGGCTTACATCTGCGTGGTCAATTTGGGTCAGTGTGCGCGTTGAACTAGAACACCATGTAGCCGTTCGACGAGAACTGTGTCGAAAGTTGGTGCTAGATAAGAACAGCTAGTGATCCGCGCAGAACTGAAGTAGTCGATCACCGTTGTCTGTTCGCTGGGCGGGGAGGGCGAAGTGCCCTCCTAGACAGGCTTCGGTAGCGCTCAATTTTCCAACCTGCGCGTTAAAATTACCTACCAGCATTATAATATCAGAGTTGCGGCTCAACCGAATCAGTTCGGCGAGTTTGTCGTAAAATTCGTCCTTTTGTGAAGCGGGACTGCAATTGGTTGGTGCATACGCTGAAATTATGAACAAACACCGTTTGGTGTTGCTACCCTTCCGAACACTAACTGAACCCTCTAACATCATTGCGCACAGACGACTATTGACGGGTATCCAATCTATCATAGAGGCTTCAGCTTTATCGTCTAGTACGATACCTGCACCACGCTGACTCAGTAAGCGGGCTGCGTCGTCTCCTGATGTGCGAAGCAAATACCTCGCGGACGGACCCGGCACACTCAGGTGGTTTATAATATTAGGGTCCTGAATTCGTGCCTCCGATACGCAACAGACGTCGATTTCTAGAGACTCCATTGTACGCGCAAGACACGCCTGTTGACCCATCTGCATAAGAGTACTCACGTTGAAAGCCCCCAGATTGAGACGTTGATGAGATTTCAGAATCTGCACTTTTTACAGGAAAATTAGTTACAGTGCTATTTGGCAGACCTTTGGCGAGTGACGACCAAGTTGTCTGAGGGAATATCACGGGTCGGAAGAAGGGGTAAAGGGATAGGGTTGGGTACGGAGGACAAAGAGTTAAACAAAGGTTGGGATATCTGAGCAGTAGCCCACTTATCACTACCCGCCCCGCTCGATGCAATGGGCAGCGCGGTCCTGATTATCCTGCGCGACGACCAATATAGCATGAAATTATTTTTTGTTTATGTGTTTATTGGAGCTTTAGGGTTGGATACTGCTAGGGTGTCCAGCCACTAAGCAGGAGAACGATTAGGGTTCTAACAAAAACCTAACCGCAAGGCAGTGGTTAAGGCGGATTGGAGGCCCATTAACTTGAATCAATTATTCCTCCAACACTTTTTATTGACTGAGACGCCGACTCAAGTCGAACCTGGAGGACCAGGAGACTGGACTTCGTCTGACCTCTACCCATTGACCTTCCAGGCACGATTAGATCTTTGGCTCGGTAAAAGCCATCCTGTGTAGCTCGTTGGTTCATAGAGGTGCACAAGCCATCACACCACGTCAAGGTGCAGTCTCATCGTGATGGCTTTGTTATCCTGTTAGCTACTCGCTCATTTCGCACTCGATTACACATATCACCAGCTATAAATCCACGCGTCAACACCGTGGATACAGACTGTTCTGCGACTGTTCTGTTGTGACGATGGATGAGAGTATGTCTGAAAGTCGATATGCACAAAGACCGAGCTCGGTGATCAGTGTATCAAATCATAGTGCTGTCCCCAATGTGGCCCAAGCTCTACAAAAAGCGAGAGACAGGTGGGGATGGGAAGGCTCTATGTGAAACGGTGGTCAGTCCGATTGCGAGACAGAAAGGTGGCAGAATAGCTGACGCGTCCATACCTCATGCTGAACTCGATTGCAAATGCAAAGGTGAGCGACCCCGTCCACCAAACCAAACATCATTGGTGTGACTAGATATCACCCGGCACTGCGAAACGAAATCGGTAACTGACCTGTAGTGAACGCGAGTTGGGGACAACAAACCCGTCTACGATCACTGAGCACCACGTCTCTAAGCTAACACCGGTGTGCCGAATTCCTACAGACCAAAAAAACAGAGGTTCAAATGGAATAACAGAAGCACGCGTGTGTTTCGACTTAAAATGGATTGTGGTTGAGGCTGATCAACAGGGCGTAGAAGGCCATTACCCGACCACCACCACCACTCCTTATTTAGTTTAGTTTGAGTCCGGGAGACTGCAACAAGGACGTTCTGTGCTAAATCCCAGCGAATTTGAGTGCTGTCGTGCAGTTACAGATCCACTAACCACGCATGTCACAACGACAGCGGTACCTCTCTTGGGTGCTGCCAGGTATGGTGCTTTTAGAGCGTTAAGCAGAGCACTTCGACCTTGTGCTCCAACCTTCGACAGAAAAGACTATTACGGTTGGTACTATAAGCGGTTAGTGTAACGTGTGAGATTGTCTGCTTTTGTTTGTGTATGTACGGCCAAAATCAGACTGATCCGAAGTGTGCGCGCAAGGTGGCGGCTAACCGTCATTGGGGTGAGTAAGTGAGCTTGCGAAAGCTTCTTGGTGAGACGGATTCTGCGATAAATACGCGGTTATCACACACCGCTCTGCTGCCATGAAGTAACATCAGGCGGATGTGAACATTATTATATATCATATTTCATAATTGTCCGAGGACAACCTGTGTGCCAAGCAAATCACGGTACGACAATCTTTACAAAAAAGAATAAACGTTCCATGATTGGCTTGTGGGTTGAATACTGCCAGGTTGCCCAGGCCAAGGCAGGTGAATTTTCTTGCGGAATCTACAACCGGGGCCTTCGGCTAGCCAGAGGCTGACCCGCAAGGCATCGGGGTGGTGTGCGACAACCGCAGTCCATTGGGAGCCGGTGTCCAGTTCATCGGATCATTCACCCTTTGGACGGGGTCAAACGTCTAAGGTGCCCAGTACACCTCAATGTCCAATCGATCTAGTGACATTTGCCACTACCGGAAAGGTGTGGGTGTGGTTCATACACCTCCTCTTGGTTTGTTTGGAATCAGGGTTTTTGGCCAACTCCCCTAAGTGAACTGCCAGTGGTCCACCGACCCGATTATAACCCCGGATGTCGGCTTTTCGTTCTCTCACTTTGGGGAGGAAACATCTCCATGAGAGGGCAGTGAGTGGGGCTTCCTCAGCAGAGGCTATCAGAGGCGCTTGGTCGTATGGGAGCATTTCGCGAGACGCAAGGGAAGTGTGACCATCCACAACCCTAGACACCCACCTCCGACCGTACCGACGCTTTTGGAGGCATGTGTTCATATTGGTGTCATACCGAACCCCATCGGCAGCCGTCGATGCTTTACTCTCGGGGACTTCAGTGCTCCCAATATGGCCTGTGTCGGAAGCCTGACCAGACCTGGTGTGGATTAGTTCCCTCTGGAATTGTTAATTTCCTCGTTTCCGCATGTGCAGTCGTCGGCGACGCATCAGGGCAGACGGGGATCGATTGTATACTTGGTGATATCGAGCACCACCCTCCGCTAGAATGCAGTGACCACATGGTATTGGCTTTTCGTTGGCGAAACGCTACCCACGCACCCCTAGGATTATACAGGGGCTGAAATGTATGGCACACTCAGTTTGACGGGGCCCGAGCGACTGCCATAGCTGTGCCGTGGCTCACACCAATCCATAACGAGGTGGTATTTTTCCTTGTAGACTTTGCCTTGTATGGCGAACATTAATTCTTAGTTCTATTTTTTATTACGCGAGTTAGCGTGATGAATGGCAGACGGGGTAAACTCCATAATCACGAGGACCTGCTCTTCAGTGATGGAAACCGGTAACCTAAGCCCCTTGGGATGGCTTTGCACTTAAGGCCCCGCTAGACTAGGTATTGGACCGGACGGCATGCACCTCTACAACTTTAAAGTATTTGTTTTCTAATTAAACAAAGCTCGTTGACAATAGAACAAAATACAACCAGACAATTTCATGATCGCGCATGTGCGTGTTCGTGGAAAGTTGCATCACATCAGGAGTGCGCTAAAGACACCTATGTTAAACATTGAGGCTCAGTCATCAAACCTTTCCTTTCTTCGTCTCTTTCAGAGATAGTTTTGATTGGATTTTTCTTTCAGCCTAGCTATGGATGCCAGTCTTTTACGTGAGAGAGAAGCTTTTCTTAAACGCGCAAAGGCACTTCCTGTGGTCGAGAAGCCACGTGCAGCCCCAATCCCCTCTAATGACATTGGTCCACCTCCGATCAAACGAGTTGCTGCCTCTGTCCCATCTGATCTCAGATCGGCTGAATTTCGACCTGCGTTGCAAGGAAAGTTTGCTGTCCTCTCGTCTGTGGTGAAGTATATGAAAGTGAGTCTTTGGACGTGATAAACACCCTTCACTTCGATGTTCAGCAAAGACATCTAGAACGAGATACGCATCCCTTAACAGTCGAGGAAATTTTGGAGGAGGCTCGGCTTCACGATACTCCACAGTCAACCATTCGTTGGCTTGAGGATGAGGTGAGAATGAACACCCATAACGTGACGTTTATCAATGAAGGCTTTACCGAACAATCCGAAAATTAGAGTCACACCGGATAGAAAGTTCGTCTTCAAACCTCGCTACGATATCCGTAATCGTCACGATCTCTACATGTTATTGAAGCGCCATGATCTCAAAGGTTTGGGGGGTATATCCATGGACGATATTGCTGAATCAATAGCGGATGCAGAGCGATTGATCAATGTGAGTTCTTTTCCAATCATTGATACCATATGTTTGTCATGTGCCAGTTCACATAGTTTCACTAAAATTTAGGACTTTCTTGCGGCGGTTTTGGTTACTGTCTTTTGGTTGCCCATTTGGATGAGGAAGTAAGAAAAAGTTAAAAGTGGAGCAAATGAGAAGATGGAGAATCTCAGAGAACTAAGGTTCCAAAGAAATTGAGATGATGAGCGGGTGCCACTGTTTACGACACTCGGTCATATCGCTTAGTGTCTCTAACCGTGGCACACTGATTCACGATCAGCAACGCCGTCTTGATCGATGGGCTGAACATTTCGAGTCTCAGTTCAACGACCCCCCCCCGTCGAAATCTGAACTATCATCCTCCACCGCGACTGCGAAAAAACTGCCAGTCCTCCATCTGAAATGGAAGTTTCCCGGGAAATAAGCTATCTCAAAAGGCCCAGACGGGCTCTCACCATTGGTTTTTAAGGATGGAGGTTTAGCCTTGGTTTCGAAGTTAACGAAACTCCCGGGCTCACTGTGGGAGAAAGAACAAGTTCCAGCTGAATGGTGTGAATCGGTTATCATACCGATTTATAAGAAAGGTGACAGATCCTCCTGTGAAAACCACATAGGAATTAGTTTAATCAACATTACTTCTAAACTTCTCGCTGGGATCGTAGTCCGTCGAGTGTCTACCGCATGTGAAGAGTGCACGCTTGAGAACCAGGCTGGTTTTATACCTGGTCGAGGTTGTATGGACCACATCTTCACTCTTCGCCAAACTCTTGAGCACCGACATTCTTTTCGTGGACTCACCAGCTCTATCTTCCTGGATCTGAAAGCGGCTTTCGACTCAGTCGACCGCTTTAAACTTTGACGCTGACTTTCGTCGAAGCTTGTGCCCGAGAAATTTATTTCAATATTACGATCCTTCTATACTCATAACCGAAGCCGAGTCCAAGCTTACGGCACTTTTTCACCCGAGTTCACCTCGGAAAGCGGTGTTCGACAGGGTTGCCCTCTCTCTCCTTTTCTATTTAACTTTGTCATAGATTTGATTATAGAAACAGCTCTATCCTCGTGCGAGGATAGTGATGTCGATTTACTTCCAGGTGACAGGCTGTCTGATCTAGAGTATGCAGACGACATTGTGCTACTANNNCAATGTCGTCTGCATACTCTAGATCATGGAACATTTTTCTTTTTATAAAGATGATTGTACCATGATTTGTTTGGCACACTGTCTGTCCTCAGACAAGTGTGAAATATATATACTAAGTGAAGATCTAGCTAAGATGCAAGCTTTTCTGAACAGCTTGAGTGACAGTGTAGTTGTGTTCGGTATGCGTTTTGCATCTTCAAAGTGTAAAATGTTGCTACAAGACTGGTTTTGTCCAGCACCCAGGTGGTGGTGGCGCAGTGGTTTAGTCGCTGTCACCGGCGTGCTTTGGACCCTGTGGTCCGAGGTTCGAGCCCCGCCACCGCCACCCGACTTTGGTGGTAGGCAGCTCTGCTGTCGTCCGGTTCAATACCACGCCTAGCCTATCGGGGCCTTATGTGGTTCGCGACTCCAAGTTCTGGGGCTTAGGTTGCCGATTTCAACCACTGAGCAACAGGTCCTCGTGGCTATGGGGTTTACCCCGTCTGCTGTTCATCACACCTAGGTGTGTAATAAAAAAACCCCAACTGGGGAATTCATAGAGCAAGCGGATAAATTTTGTTATTTGGGTAGCTACATCACAGACTCATACAGAAGGCTCGGTTGACATTTGCCAACTTAAGATATCTGTGGCACCGTCGCGACATCCAGCTGTCTGTTAAGGGTCAAGTATATGCTGCAGCAGTTCGGTCAGTTCTGCCATATAGAGCAGAAACTTGGCCATTAAGAAAACAGGATAAAGATAGACTGTCGGTGTTCGAACATCGCTGTCTACGCAGCATTGCGCGAATCTGGTGGGGCAGCCGGATGAGCAATGCTGGGGTCAGGCGCAGAGTTTTAGGCAACCGCGGTCGCCCACTGAAACAAGTGATCAAGCTCTGTAGATTACGTTGGTTGGGACATGTGTTATGCATGGCACGAGATAGGTTGCCTCGGCAAACATCGCTCGCCGTGGCAGATAGTGGGCAGAATAAAGCCAAGGGTGGTCAAGCTGAGACCTGGCACGAGGGTAAGAAAACCCTAACCTGGAGTCTGGGTCACATACGTCCCGTAAGGCTCCCTGACTGGGTACCTCGAGATGGTCGTAACCGATGGTTAGAAGCACTGAGTGATATGGTTGGGTGTCGTAAACAGTGGCGTTCGTGCATGTTTTCCATTTCTCTGCGTCATTAGTCCTCTGAATTTCTCAATTTTCTCTNCTACTTTCACCCAGCTTGTTTTTCCTCCTATTGTTCACCCAACTGGGCAGCGGAAAGACAGCAACCAAAGCGTCTCGCCGAAGTGCATGCCTAATGGTTGTTTAAACTAAAAACAAAAAAACTACTATTGATTACAATGATTAGAGACTCTTCCGAACACTTAACTGTTCATGGTTATGTCCACAGTTGATTTATCAAGAGTTAAGATAAACTATTTCGATGTAAACAGAATGAATCTATTGTAGAAGCTTAATGCAAAAGTACCATCACGACGAGACTGCACCTTGGCGTGGTGTGATGGCTTGCGCGCCTCAGTGACCCTG